TCTTGATCGATGGCATTTTAAGTCGTCATGCTGCTGGTTTTCATCTGTCCTTCAGTCGTCTCCAGATTCTCTTGAGTCCTTGCACTGCTTCTAGCTGTGGTGCTATCCAAACCAAACTCCAAGCAGGAAAGCTAGACTAGTCTGCAAATGCCTTCCCAAGGGATGAGTCTTCTCACCTTTTTGACAGCCCAAACTGTGCAGATCTGTGCAGCCTAATCTTGCAACGCCATGTGCATCCATGCGGCCAGGGGGAGGCAAAATCACGCCGCCCACCGACATGCCCGACTCCACCTCAGGTATATTCTGTTCACAGCTGCTAGTCTGCAGGTTCTTTTTGTGCCATGTCTGAAAAAGAAACACGATCGTCCGTTGAGCGATTTGCAAACAAACGATGAAAGGGTAATCAACTTTTTGTGAACCGTGTGGGTTCGCGGAAAGTCTCTTCATACACGCACCTAGTTGTGTATTACCAGACCGCCACGGTTTATGTTTATTGATTTGGAACTCACCTGTCAACGGTATCAAAGAGTGGAGCCCAATTTGTGCCCTAGCATATGAAACAACACTTGGTGTAAAAGGATACAGTACTGCATATAGGATCATTGTGGGTTTAATGTTATTCTCTTTGATGAACAGCACCAAGGCCGTACTCCTAAAATTTGCAGCCTGTCTATGATAGCTTAGGCTTAGGGTCTGTTTAGAGATGTCCCCACAGGCCTGGACAGCAAGCTGAGTCGGAACAAACATGTTGTAATCAGCCTTGGCCTTGCTAAACTTTTCGCACCAAACACTCAAAGGGTGGCTTTACTCAGTCTCTTAGGGGTTGCACTACTGTATTTGTTTACAGCTCCAGGTATATTCAATGGTTATGGTACCCTAGAATGTAACTTTGTTTCGGAAACTGCATGGATTTGCAAAGGTGTCCTTAGCCGAGCCACGAAAAAGGCTGCAACAGATCCAGCCCGCTTGCAAGCTGCTGCCTGGGGCTGTGGAAACAAGTGATCACCATCTCGCATGAGCCATTCAGGAACTGCACCCATCCAAGTCACACAAACCGATCTGAAGAACCTGTTTGAGTCCCTACCGCCTTTCTAGATGGACCATTATACTGGGTATATCTCTCGTAAATCTAGCAGGTCTTTGGCCAAACCTTTGGCCAACTGCACTTCTCCAAACTGCGTCTTCTCGAACTGCGCAGAAAGCACAGTACAAACGTACACAGCACAGTAATATTAAACTCAGATTGGTAATGAATTACATATATTGGGGAAACTAGCTTGGACAAGAAGCCATCTTGAACATCTTGCTTCTGCATATCATGAGTGACCGGTCCACCCTAGTGGCCCAAAACGCGTGAAATGTGAACCATCAGAAGCCCGGTTGCCACATCTGCTGCGTATCGCTCGCCGGCATCTTCTCCTGATCTGCTGGCTCAAACAATTGTGACCAAGAATATCAGATGGTTCAAGAGACTTCTACAAAAATGACCTGGTCAGTGGAAAACTCGAAAACGATGTCTCCGACCTGCCTGTTAAGATGAGGTGGGCATGGCTGGTGATAAGACACAGCTCTTTCAGATTCTTTCAGATCGCATCCGACCCAGTGTGCAACGACCAGGCTCCTCGGTGCGGGCCTCGGAAAGTGTCTGGGCATGGCACTTTGAAGATGTTGGGCTTGGCTCCTGGCAGTCACAGTTGGGCCCGGGCATTCCTTCAGACCGCCGACACTTGGGCCCACCCTGTGTTCTAAACCTGAATGAGCTTGTCATGATGAAGTTCTACAGTTGACTGTAGTGCATTGATGTCCCAGAAACTTTCAAAACTTCAAGTTTGCCACGTCAAAAGACATCGACTGGATGTTCACATTGTTCACCCCAACTTGACTAGTCGATGCCTCAACGCTTCGCGGACTCCGCTCCTTCACCTCCTTTATGGTCAAACTTGTAGGGACTGATCTCAATGGTCTGCTGGGTGTGTCCGTGATACCCATGGTCCACGACAATGATATTACGGCTTCCTGAGATCCAGAAACCACATCGACCGCTGCTCGAAATTCGTCTGTTTCAGGGTGAAACATGAGTGGTTTGAGACTTGTTCATCGCAACTCCTCCTCAAAGTGATGGTTGAGGAGCTTCTCGGTGCAAGTTGGCACGAACGTCATTGCCCTACCCCACCCCGCACCATATACAGTATCATATACGTGACCAAAACATGTAAAACGCTGCTGCGGTTTTCAACCTGTAGGCTCAAACAATTTCCGAGTTTCCTCAAACACCTCCAAAGTGTTCTTACTTCCTGGTGCCGCTTGATGGATGCCGAAATTTGCAAAGGTTCCACATCGTTGACAGGAATTGGACTTGACGCAGTGAGACCTCCTTCACTTGGGAGGAGGAGTCCATCACACTTTCAGTGACCTAAATCATTCCAAATCCACCAAGACAGTGATGGACTCCTCTGATGGACTCCTCTCAATCCCGGCGTCGGCTCCTCGCAAAGGCCAACCGGGTCGCCAGGTCATTGGCTTCGGAACCTGCCCGTAGTCCGCCGTAGAACCAAATGTGGCATGCGGTGTCTTGGAATTCACGTGAACACATATATATTTGAAACTGTTCAGAATACCTTGTGTGACAGTTCATAGACTCAAGCAATGACTCTCCTGAAAAATCTGCTCTTCAATGCGTTTGTCTATGATTGTTCATGTATGTGTTTCCCACCTAGGTCCACATTCCCCCAAAGTAACATGCCTGAATTCACGAAGAAGCACACTTCTAGGCCACTGCCGGTGGGAAAGGTTTCTGTGAGGCGCTTTGCCAAGAGGCACAAGTTGGGGTGCAGGTACCTGCAGGGTGTGGAAACCAGAGGCCAAAAAAGCGCATGGAGATTGGACACCGATCGGACAAGCTGAGCTGGCGCAGCTGACATGCTGGGGCCGATGGATCTAGGTTACAGAAAAAGGGTCGGATACTCCATGCATGCATTGTTTCTCAGGTGCAAGCTTGCCTTGTAGGTCGAGGTAGAACTGAGTCAGAAAATGAACCCTAGATTCAACATGAGCTCTTTAAGCTTTCTGCTGCTTACCATTCAATATCTTGGTTGCGCCTGGTGTTGGTGTTCAGTTGTTCCACTTGCTGAGCCACGGCCCGGGCGACTCTAGGGTGCGAGTGCCCAACATGGCAAACATTGTTCCGCGTATCCAAGTAGGAGTTACCTGAGCTCGGATTGCCAAGTTGGCCCGGTGTTCTTGAAGCTGTCACAGTAACTTCGGCATGCAAAGTCGTCAGAATGAAACCCACATCGCATGGACACACCAGCCTGCCTTCAAATTTAGAAAAGGTCAAGCCACACGCACAGATGCACACGCGAAAAGTGAGACTGCCAAGTGACCTGCTTCATCATATAGATAGCTGCCTTCACCCCGGAGGATCAAGAGTGGGTCAGTGTTTGCATAGGAAATGCTCCTGAGCTTCTGCTTGATTAATGAGGCTTTTGGCCAAAAAATGACTACAAGTACAAAAATCTTGCCTCCAAACTAGCAATGAAGTCAGGTGGTTTCCTTCGCAGTGTGGGAGAACAAGTCTTGCTTTGCTCTGCCCTCCAAGCTAGCATCTTCGTAGGGAAACGCAGTAGGTGAACTTTGTGACACCTCTGCCAAGTGAAACAATTGAAAGCTATTCTGTTGACCATGGGGCACCATGAGCAAAGACGAGCAAAGCTTTCAGTGCTCCGCAACATGGAAGCTCGCACCTTGCAGGCCTGATTCACTGCTATCAGCCCTCTCACCCGTTGCAATATAATATTGGCCAGCATCTAATCTTACATTTGGCTGCCAAGTACAGGATGTTGCTGCCTTTTCTCCATGACTATCAAGTCCTGAACACGTCTCCATATCCTCAGCTCAAGATCTGCCAGGAGTCTGTGCAGGGCAGAAGTGCTTCCGGCGGAGCTTCAAGATCTCATCTTTGCTCAATGCCTCAGCTGTTTGGGCTTCTGGTTACCTTGTCTCAAACAAACATAGCAGCCACTTGATAGGGCAAACTCATCTGAAAACGCACTGTGTGGCCCAAAACGGGTGTTCTTTGGAAAGTACTACAGTATATGTATTTCTTGTTGACAAGGGAAACCACCGGTGCTGGCCAGGTCTGGCCTCATGGGCCACATCCGATGACCACAAGCTGCCCATATGGAGACGAAGGAGGAGAGGCCTACGGCCTGAAATGCACTGTAATTGCATAACTGCTTTCTGTTGAGTCTGAAGATCGGACATGAACCAGATAAGCCAAGGCTGGTTGAATTGGAACCTGTTATAGATACAGACACCCGGAGGAAGAAACGATGCTGAAACAATCGTGGCTGTGTCCATGGTTCGTTGTGCGTTGCTCCAGCTACCCTAGAGGCTGTGAAATCTGTTCTCCGAAACAGCGTGCTAAACGGCCAGAACGGCTCGCCAAGCTTGCTGGTTGGGTGAAGCTCCAAAACAAGTCTGCGCCACATTGTGGGCATCCCACCAAACACAAATACATGAAGAACGTATGCGTGATTCACTGCATCAAAATGAGAGGACCTGATGATGTGAGGATTGGAACTCCCGACTTGGTCTGTCTCATCATGTTTCTAATGACTGGAAGGGTTCATCCCCTCATCAGTTCGTGCATTTCTCCAATTTGCAATGACCTCTGTAGCCGTTCTCCGTTTTCCCTGTGAATGTTTCGCGTAGACGCGCTGAGTCACTTCAGGTCCAGCCGAATTTGACCTTCACTCTTGTCTCCAAAGTACCAAAGCAGCGGCAAGAAAACCTCACTATAGAATACAGTAGATGTCGTTTCAGTCGCCATCCTGGTACCAAAGGGACATTCCGTTTGATGCTCACCTCTCCTATCAGTCTGCATCAATTTCCATTTGTAGGTCCCATTCCACAGCACACTGCGGCACTGCGTTGCTTTCATCAAGAGGTGCACGCTCGACTCGTTGCATTCCGATCACGACCAGGACCCGACCACCCACCTCGCGCGAAACCTTCTCTCGGGGCGTCCATCTGGGAGACCTGAGCTCGCGCGTTTTCATCTGTGCGCGAGCTCGATTTCAAGGGGCAGGTTGAAGTCCAGAAAGCAGGAAAGGTCAACAAAACTCGAACACTTGTCCTCAGCAGCAAACTTAGGCAATGTTGGATCCCAAACATGGTCGTAGTCTTCGTCGCAACAAGTTCTCCACAATCTTGAACCGTATTTGAACCCCCAGCTTCGACTTGAAAGCCTTGCAAGTCCCGAAAAGGCTCTGTTTCTGTTTTGGGCTCTTGAGGCCAAACACGTGAAAAACATTAAAAGACTCTGCCAAGTCTGGGAGTTGGAGTCACAAAACTGTAGAGTCGTTTTCACAGGACTCAAAGCCCCTCTGAAATGTCTTGACCTCAACTTGGTGGGATCAGCATGACAGCTTTGTGCGATCTACAGGCAGCCGGAAATTCAGGATTATCCTGGATATCAGTACGGACCATTGGCAAAATGAGTCATCCAAAGTGAAGCACATGTCGGGCACTCTCAAACACGTTGAGAGTAGCATGGGATCAGTTTCGGAAAAGGGACAAGCATGCTGCATTGATAGAACTCATGAGTAACTGAGTAACTTGATCTAAATGGGGCATCTGGTACGCACAGCCAGAATGGACAAACCCTTGACCAGTGGCATCCACTGCCGTCCAGCGCCACCCGTCTTGGATCCAAACGAAATGGGAGTGATCCTGACATTCAAATGCAGCTTTTTCGGTGAAGTCATCTCTTTGGTGTTTTGTCTTCTCCATATAAGGCCCACAAATAAGTAGGAAAGTCAATCCGCATCGAAAGTTCACCGGAAATTACGTCTACTGAACTTCCGCTTCGCGCAAAGAATGGACATATGTGCTAAAATGTATTTAAATGCGGCCCGCGTCAACTCTTCTCAACAACTAATGCACATGTATGATAGCTACGCACTTGTGGGCATCCATCTTTCCTCGCCTTGGCCTGGGCTCGGAATGTTGACAGGATGAGTGTGGGTGCTCTTGCTGTTGAGGCTGAAGTCACACACCCACACACTCCCAGTTTTGCTGGTCTCCCACCCAGAAATTGATCTACACCCACATCACGTACAGTAGAAGTAGTTCAATGCGCCTTCATCACACCCGTCACAGTGGTGGTTCATCGGCCCTACAGGTCTGCGGTCTGCAATTGTATCAGATTCAAAATACTGATTGGCGTTGACGTTGACATGCAAAGATTGATGGTCAGCTCCTTCTTGCATACACACACACACACACACGCACACACTGTTTCTACGAGCATCTGCTGAGAACAGTCAATGATAGTTGTTGCCCACCTCAGGTTCTGCCCCCAGAAACAAACAGGAAAGAAAGAAAACAACAGGGATGAGAAATCGCCATTCCATATTAAGTTGCCGTCCATCATCTCTCTGGATGAGAAATGCATGGAATATATTATATATATATAATTATATATATACATCTGCCATTGCCATACCATCTGTATGGTGGTGATTTGACGTCGCTCTGGTCATGCTTGAGAAAAAGGAACCCAGGAATGCCTGGCCTGCAAAATGCAAATACCCGGCCAGGTTTGGCTGTATCAGCCGAGGTCCTTGTGTCCTCCTCCACATTCTCCAAGACAATGCCGTACATCCAGCCAATCAACCGTCCTGGCAAGCTTCCAAAAACGCTGCTTTGCAATTGTTACACGCTCCGAGACTGCAGTGCGTTGTTGGAATTCCTTTAAACAAACAGCATCAAACATCTCATTATTGTGGCCACCACGTCAGTTTGCGCTCAAGTCACAAGTCGCAAGGCCGGCGGAGCAGGGCATGCATTCACATGCATGGAATCCATGAGGGACGGAGTGAGCTCTCCATGAGCGCCAATAGCATGCCAGCAAATACTGTCTGCTACAGGCCCTTTCATATTACATAAAAGACATCTGATACGCATCAACACCACAGCAAGAGAGTAGGCTGTGACAACGCCCCATGAAACAAAGTGGGCAAATACCCGAAAGTGCCAGCTGTTGACGGTGGGTTCTCTTGCCTCGAAAGACCAAATACACAGTGACAAACATCTCCACCCTGCCTCGCCAAATGAGGACCGCATCATTCTTCCTGAGACCCGTCGGCAATGCTAGGCGAATTTGTTGCCGGTGGAGTAGGAACATTGCTCTTGAAGGAGCATGCTGCAATGCATGTTGGCTCTTGCAAATGCTTTTCTCTGTCATCCGAAGTAGTTTTTGCCAAACATCTGGTTCAATCCACAAGCATGTATGTGGGCGCTCTCGGCAACTTCTCACAGCATGAACATTAGCTTGAGCACTGCCGATGTCGTGCAAATGAAATCAAACAACCGTCTTGTTGGAGTCAGTGGACTCTCATGCCATACCAGAGCTGTGGGGGTCGCTTTATATCATCAATCGACGGAACTTGCAGACTCGCCCAACTGGGCTCAGGGGCTCATATCTCTTCCGGATCCTGGCCGAGAACTCTCTGTTCGGTTGAACTCTCTGGACTGAGATTCTTCGGCCTGGCCGATGTATAGTAGCTTCTTGTTACTACTAGTAAGGCACTTGTTACTACTAGCGTGGCACTTGTTACTAGTAGCGATGCACCTGTTTCTAGTAGATCTACATTCTCTGGCAGCCTGGCATGTAAATCATGGTCTCAAACCGGTTCCTTGATTCAATCAATGATACAGTCAACGGCTTGTGAAGATTTCGGCCATCACTACATTATGCAAACCAACCGGTCATTGGATGTCGTTCGACTCCTGGCCTTTCAATGGTCACGTTGTTGAGCACGAAGGGCTCAGTGTCCTCCGCCTCACCTGGAGCGTGGCCGTGTAGGGCCCGCTACGGGCGCGTAGGGATGATAGTGAAGCCCATTGGAATCTGAAAACCCGAAAGAAAGCCCCTTGGAACAAAGGCGCTCGAGCGAGCTTCTGCAAAAGCTCCCTGTTCTGTTCTTAGTCGTTCGTGTTTGTCACGCTCTTAGCTTCATGAGCACCAGAGTGAACAGGATGGTAAAGTGGCTTGGAGATCAGGTAGCTTGTGGATGCTTGTGGTGCAGCTTTGAGACGCAACGGCACTTTATGCATGGGACCTGTACTCATGGACATCTGATGCGTTTGACGTCAAAGGGTGTCAGAGCCGTTGTTTTGGAGCCTCACATTTTGGGCTCAAGAGCTTCTACCTTTGGGCTCAATTGTGGCCTCCTTTACAGGTTGTGCAGTAGCACTCGTGGGTGAGACTAAGAACATAGTGGTCCTCTGTGTCACCAATGTGTCAAATATATTGGCACCGCGCTGCCTTCGGCGTTCGCCGCTTCCTCTGGGAAGACAATGACTTGGTAGAAGCCCGCGGCGTGCAGCACGTTCGCGACAATACCCTTCTTCCATTCCCTGTCAAGAACCATGGGATCGATCAAACTGTCTGGAGGGCCAGGGTTGGAACTGCTGAACATAAGATTCAAATTGCTTGAACAAGTGTCGAATGACCCTTTCAGTGCAGATTGTACAATTCAACAACGTTTTTCGGCATGTTAAGTTCACCACCAATCCAATCCATTTCCCCATTTGCTATCATTCAACCATTGGATACAGGTACGTATTCTTCCCTTCAAGTCTTGTGATTTCACGAGAAGAGAACGACTTGGATACCGGCCAGCACTGCCGGCCCAGCCCCATTCCCAACTAGCCAAACGGGCAAGGCCTGTAGTCCTCCTGTGCAGCAGAGGTTTGTCGTTGCTCTTCCAATTGCATGTGCTGCAAGGGCTGGTTCATGCTAGTTCTAAGTTGGCTAGTCTGCCTTGCCCTTGCTCATATGGCAGTAATTAGACTAATTGTGTGTCGTGAATTGCCGTCGGACATGAGGAAAGGCGGCTGGTGGTATACAAGCTCCAAGCTCCATGGTAGTATGTGCGCAAATACCTAGGCCTTAGACAAACGACCAACCCCAGGTCAGCATCGTTACCCCCGGAGGTGTGCACACGCCTAGGTCACCCAATATATGCTGCAAAGAGTGCTGCAAAGATTTTTTTGTTCCTAGTACAGTAGCTACTTGCTCCTAGTAGTACGGCCAGGAGCCCCTAGTAGCGTCTTTGCTCCTAGTGTTGCTGCTTCGCCGACTCAAAACACAATTAGCATCATCCATTAGCGCTTCTGTGAATCGTGCCGAACCTTCTATGGTGCAGGTTGAGCCATGAAGGCCGTGTGATGTTGGGTGAATGACGGCTTTTCGCAAGTTGAAGAAGGAGTTCGATGCATTCTTGCGAGTATATAGGGCCAATTTGATACGTTGACATAAGATGACATAAGCACTGCTCTTCAGGGAGCCCTTCCCTGCTTCCTTTGGAACAGGACATGGCCTTCCCATTGCATCACTGAACAAACAGGCGAGGAGATCCCCAGCTGAAACCGATGATCCATCCAAGTTCGGCCGAGCTGCCACATAAACCAGGACACGCTCGTGAACTGGCGGCGAGTCCGTGGGACGTTCGGCAACGAGACTCGCGTTGCTGTTGGCAGACTCGCTTCTCCCGCCACAGATAGTCAAGTCAGTGAAAACAGTGGCCTTTCTCACTGAGCAGGGGTGAAAGCCCCCAGTTTTTTGTTGTTAGACAAGATGCATCGTTGGCCTCTCGAAACACTTTCCTGGCTTGACCTTCTTGCCCTTCTTATGCATTCCCACCCACTACGGGGAGCAATCAATCCTTTCTCCATCTTTCTTCCTTTCTCACACGCACCTTGCAGCCCTGGCTGCAAAAAGGAGATGGGCACAGCATGGCGCAGCTGCCGCCGCACACCCACACGCACATCGTAGCAGGGGAGCCTCGGAACACGGGAGCAGGATGTCTCCACAAACATATTTTATATCTGGGATGCAGCACTAAGTAATAGACCTGTGTGCACAAGGGAGCTGAGACATGTTTGACTCCAAGAGAATTTGGTCAAGGCCAATACAACTGTAACAAAGGACACCGGAGGCTTCGGATACTGAATCATACAGGAGACCTCTTAGAACGGGATCCTGGTCTTCGGGCAATGACTGTAGTCTGTAATGAAATTTTATTTCATGGAAACATATATAGCATTTTGTTCAGTTCCGCAAATCAAGTACTCTGAACTAGGGGCCCATGACTGGCAAAGCTGTATGAAGCTACGCTTACTAAGCTGTGAGGGACTAGTATCCCAGAATTGGATGTTTCAACGATGGGACCAAGTGCTCAGCTATTCCAATTGCAAGCTCTGCTAAAGCCAGCGATGGTCTCCAACTGAATAAGGAATCCCATGCCATACTTGGACATGTCGAAATCTGTGCCATGGCATGTCGAGGTGTCAGGCCTTGAGGGCAACGTCCACCTATATCCATTCATCGCATCGAGGGAAGTCCAGTTGCATACTGTCAGATGTCAGGCAACTGTACCCATCAAAAGCAGAATGTGGAGAAACTGGCTTCGAGAGGGCAGCGGAAAAGAAGGGCTTCGGAACACTTGAACGATCCCGACCTTCATATTCCGATGTGTCAGACCTTTGCGGTTTCGACCTGCTTGCTTTAACCATAGAGAACAGTTGAGCAAGTCCTGACCATCCCGACCCTTGGTCCAGCCACTCATCTGGATCGTCAGTGATGAAGATCCCTCCACCCTCCACATAGCCTTGCAGCCTGCCAGGTGGTCCAAAACTCTGCCCAGTGAGCGCAATGAGACTGAGACTATGATTGAAGTACATGTTCAGCGATTTACCACTCCCTTGTTGCGCCAATCGTCTAGCTAGCAGGGCCACCAGTTGAGGCGAGTCCTTTCACTGACATGTTTACCTCGCTGTTGATACTTTGTTGTGGTAGGAGGATGTTGTTCCTTGCGGATATGTGCGCTTTCCTCTCCACAAATCACCCTCACAAGTCGAGTGCTCTGCAACATCCAGCATTTAGGGATACCAGGAAACCTGTCTCTTCAGGTCCACTGTACATTGCCCTTCCCACCTCTGTGAAGACTGGGAAAACAAGAACCCTTCTGGGCAAATTGGCTGGTCTGAGCTTCCAGACATACGTTGATGAGTTGCGGACCAGTAGATTACTGGAGCGTTGTCCTGCAGTTTTGGTCACTCCCAGCCTCAACTGGATTCGGATTCAGCGAAAAGAATCACGCAGGCAAGATCCCCATCTCTTGAGGCTTCACGCATGACGACATATGATGACCATCCTTTTTCAGTTATGCTGTGCCTTAAGTCAAGTCAATGGCGAGGTCAGGTATCCAAAGCCAGTCCTTGTAAACTTCTTGCCAAATCTGAGTGGGCGCCTGACAAGCTTGACAGGTGCAGGTGGTCACCGTGGTGGAACCCCAGAATCCCTGTCCAAATGATGGCACTCAAAAGTTTTAAACCGGCCTATCCGATTTACTGTCTCCGAAAACACATCGAAACATGGTCAAACCCTGTCAAAGCTTCCACTTGAACCACTTGAGGTGCGGATGGATGTGACCTGCTTGGACACATCTCATAATGTTTCGCCCTCCATCACACATGCCTTGCCCTGGTGACTTGTAACACAGTCCTGTTTGTCCCGACACTAGCAACGGCCAGAATGGGCAGCTGCACAATGGGTGGACAACCCATGACATGCAGCTAGGACTTCCAAAAATATTTGTCTATATACTCCACAATTTTTCCAAACTCAACTTTAACAAACAAAGACCGGAAGGGAACAATTTCTGCGATCGTGTTTTCAGGGGGCCAGCAAGTGGTACAACTCCTTTTTTCCGTTCATGTTACGATGTGCTTTTGAGTAAGTAGGCTAAGATTGGGGAAGCGACCTGGTCGACCTAGCAATGGCCACGCCAGTTCTGGAAGGGACGGAGGGACCCACTCAATTAACATATGGTTATGGATCAAAACCGGGAGACCTTGGTAACACGACTTGCGGACTCTGTCTGAGCGCTCCCCATACATCCCTTGAAGCACTCTGGCTTCGGGTTCGAAGGGGGTGAACATGGGTGTGCAAATTCCAATCGAAGCATCGGGGCACTAGACGGACGCCGTGATTAGAATCCAAATTTGCATATGGATCCGGAATGGAATCAAACGATTTGCGCTTACGCCTGGCATCCCAGATCTTCCTTTTTAAACTGTACCTTTGGGTATACTGAACTTCATTCTTCGGTGCGATCTGTAGATAAGCTTTGGGTGCGTCATATAGGTCATTGGGAAGTCTGTATGGTAATGGCGGGTTTTGATTTGAGTCTATCTGGAATTCAAGAATCGAGTTTGTTGTTTCGATTGGCATGGGTATAATCGGTCGAGATGGCATGGAGGCGGCGTTTCAATCCCAGGCGTTCCAGGCTTTTGGAACCTTGCTTCATATATTTGGATATGAATGCAAGACCCGAAAGCGCTTCAATATGTCTGCGGACAAATCGGAAAGTTTCGGCGCACAGGCATGACGAACGTTTACAACCAGGTAATGCGGCAATCTGCGCGTCTTGAAGGTCTAACACTTGGACTTGTCGTCAATTCAATAGTTGGATTCCTGTTGTTAGAGTGAAGCTAGCTCGGTCCATGTGACGCCTGCAACCTTGGCGATCTGGTGTACGCTCGCTTGGCGGCCATTTTTTTAATGGCATATTTTCCCGCTCGATGGCAATACGAAGTCCCCAAACGCAAGATTTGAACATCATGGGGTGATTTTTTTTGAGGGTATCCAAGTGCAATACGCAGGCTGTCATGTATTTAAAGGTTCCGGGAATACGACGAAGGTATGATCTTTTTCTGGGTTAATGCATCGTGTTTTTTGGAGCTTGCCTCTGGTTAGCGCAGTTGTTCTAAGTCAGGGGTGCATCTCCAAACCTTACAGATGCTCTCTTGTTCGTTTTTCTGCCCGTGGTCATAATGTGTCAAATTCTTGGCGGATTGGTTTACAACATCGAACTGCTGCTTTGTCTGCAAGAGCGTTACCACGGATTGTCAGAAGATGATAGTTCTTGGCATTCTCGAGTTTTCTGTGCGGGGTCACTCTGTGGACCTGAACCTTTCCCGGGTTCCATGCGTCTATAATAATGCTGCTCAGGTCTGCGTGTGATCTTGTTTGGTCAGCGAAGGTGAGAATCGTTAAGTCAATATCTTGCATGAAATCGAAGAAGAACTGGCTATCCGTATAAATAATAAAATCTCATGCGCGTAAACGCTGTTGCCAGTAAACCACAGCCCATACTACTGCACTTAGCTCGACTCTGGAGATTGTTTTATTCCTCTTGTATGAGCTGTTGCGAATGTAGCAACGGTTCGACTCCGTAAGGTTGCATGAATGCAGCCACAGCCCACGCCGATAGTTTGGTATGGTGTTGATTTGCATCAGCGCGTGAACAATCTCTAAAAATGTGAACTTCTGGAAGGTCGGGGAGGTCCGTAGGAGCTTCTGGCACGTGACCTCAAAAATGCATCGCGTGCTGAATCCTTTAATTCAACATCAACAGCACAGGATGGTGTAGGGGAAACGCATGCAAATGTAACTTTGATGAGAAGGTTTCAAGTGCCTTGATTGCCCTGGCTGTCTCTTTCCAGTACAATTGCCTATGTGCTCCCCTTTTATTTGGCAATCTGCGACACTGCGACAGTGGCTGATATCCCCCGGTTACATCCATCTGCAGCCACCTACGATCCTCGTGCGGTGTCCATATTTGCTCTGCGGTAGGACTATCGGATAAATATATCGTATCTCTAGCTCTCTTTCCACGACAAACTAAGATGAACCATGGACTGCCCTGTTTTATGTTTTTTCTCTTTTCAGATCTTGATGGAACCAACCTTCAAATCAATAACAAAACCTCCAGGCCCCGTACTTGGCATCGTTGGAAAGTTGCCACTGAACAGCAGTGAGATTGGCTGTTAATGCACTTGCAGGGCCGATCGATCGCCCGTGCAGAATGGTGATCTGAAGGAGTTTATTGGCTTGTCCGGGATGGCTACTAAACATTCATTTACAACAATGAGTTGTGGATCAACCAATGTACTGGTCAAGAAATGGTTGGCAACCATGACTGACGCCTGAGGATGATTTCCAACACGCACATTCGTGGCCGCTCTCCTGAATTTAACGAAATATTTGCCACCAATCTTCTGGGATTCGGCATCATAAAAAAGGCCGGCCACAGAGCTGCCTGAATGATTTTCCCTCGTGTGAAAAATCCAAGTTCAATGTGTCGCATTGCGCAATTCCGGCTTCAATTTTGTCTTGGAGTGTTCCAAGTTCCGAGTATAATGTGTTGGGTGGAACGCATGACACGTCCAAGGTCTTTACATTTTTAGCCGAAAATTGACCAGATGCGCACGTGAGTAGGTGCGAGGCATATTTCCAACGTGTTCTGGCGATTTCTTAAGATCAATCTTCGTGCGAAGTAGGTCGACCAAGTCTAGAGCCTTGAAGGTTGCCCGGAATGCCTCACCTTCCGATGAAGCCATGACCGTCCAGTTATCCGCATAAGCAAACAGCTGGATGCGTGGGTTGTGAAGTTGGTGGTAGAAAATGCAACTAGCCAATTAGATGCCAACAACCGAAAGTGTGTCTCCTTCTGGAAGGCCTGTTGTTGAACTCAGTGGACAGTCTAATTCCTATCTGTATATAATTTTCAGGTCTGACTGTCTAACCTCAAGCCACATTTTGCTTGCGTTCGTGCATGGTCTGTTGTCTCAGCGAAAGGTCCCTAACCGGACGTCCAGGCAATCCGCCCGAAATGCACATTGGCCAATGAGCCGACCACACCTCATGCCTGAAGGGTTTGATCTGCGACAATAGTGCATCTTGGTGTGTAGCCAAGGATTGAAATTGGTCTCGACCTGATACGCTTTCTGGAAAACCTTTCTTAGCAAAAAGTAATGTCCGCGCTTGCGTAGCATGTGCTGATAACCCTTGTGGCCGTTTATGTCAAAAGATTTGGGCAAGTTGTACGATAGCTTGCCATGGTATAATAGCGTTTGCAGTTCTTCTGCACGCCATGTGTCATATCCTGCTGCTCTGTATGGCACGCATAAGTTTATAAATGGTTTGCCAAATCTTATGTGGGTTGTCAATCTCGATTGGCGCCGCCTCATTTTTGGGAATGCTTTGGAGGACCTCTTAAGTGTGTCTTCCCATGGCTCAACTGCAGTTTGTTCAAATTGGGTATCTCTATTCCAAAACTTACACCAAAAGTCACGAGGTTCCTGATCTGCTTCATCTACATCATACACATGTATGCGTTGGCATGGTTTTCCTTTGACTGATAGATGGCCCTGGGGCCCTTATTGTCTTCGACATATACGATTTGGCCTTCTTGCGCTTGAATTTTGAGTTGTACATCATTGATATACGCATATCGGTTAGGCTTGAAGGCGCCGACATCATGTAGCATTGGCGAGCCTTGCTTGTCCCTTGGTTGATCTCAGCAAAGTGGCCTGCGCCCGCAATTTTGCTGGCACATCTTCAAGAATGTTCAGGCCTTTATCTTTAACGAAATTGTATATATCCCTTTGCCTCCTGTGAGTTATAGGTCAAGTTTAATGGCACGTGTCTTTTGATTGTTTTTGTCGAGTAGCTTCTTGTCGATGGAATGCATCCGCATCACTGGTCATAATCTGCAGCATATCTGCAGGCAAATCTTGATCTGCTGCGGATGGGGGGCAATAAGCAGTATGTTTGAATTGGAGCGTCCAATGACACCAGCATCGCCCATATCCTTGCGCTCTCATCATTGCATCCCATTCATTTTGAAGTTGCAAGGTGCGTTGAGATTGCGGACGTGTAAGCTTAAGAAATGCGCAAGAGCTCTAAAGGGTTTAAATCGTCGCACTTGGCGGGGTTCGCTGTTACTGTTTCCAGTGGATGGCTGCCTAGCTAAGGAGGCGAGTCACAAGCTCATTTTTAATCTGCGCGATGAGCTCTTGCTTGTTTCCCCCCTTCCAAAGCACGCGCCGGACCAAATGTAGTGTCACACTTGTGTCCGGGTCTTGGTCATGGGCAATGTACTGGGCTAACGAATATTCTGGCATCAAGTAATGGCCATGAACCCTAGGCCCTAGATCCCACTTCAGTGTGGATGGCAAAATGACCAGCTGCAACCTGCCATCATGTCTGCGCGAAGATATTAATGACACTTACTTTGCATTACAAAAATGAGAGCTCCAGAGCTTCACTTGGGCGCTTTGCCCTCCTGTCCTGGAAGCAAAGTGTTTGTGGATGTTCTGTCGCACAGTGATTACACTGAGGAGGATGGCAAGTCTGTTGGGCACAGGTGTCAGGCCAGGAACACAAACGCTTCATCTTGGTGATGTCTTCTCTTAGGCAGTAGATTCCTTGTAATTTGGCCCAAAGGTGATTGTTGGCGAGCATTGAAAGAGCTACCTGCCGGGCTTTGAGAAAGACTCATACGAAGACCGTGACCATCATGTTTCCATGTGGTTACATCAATCCATGGTCCGATCAATGACAACACATTTGGCATCAGAGTTCTCAACCAATGCAAGGTGCGCCAAATCATGCTTTAGGTAGACTCGACTACTTTCTTCTGGGGCTACATCAGGTGACCTCAGTACAAGGTTGTACTGTGGTGCCCAAGAGTGTTTCCAATGCACTCGAATGCCAGTTGGCATCTTGGTGGAAGCTTGCAAGGCTACTAATATTGGTACTTCATGATTGGTCCACATGGTAGTCTGTTCATCGTTAACTGGCACTGCACCTGTTTAGCAGGGTGGCACGTCTCGGCATGTAATCCTCCACACCCGCTGTCAATGTCTTTTTCATAATTGATGTCCTGTGCATTGATGCGTTCTTCATACAAAACCTCAACTGCATGGGAGGTGTCTTCCATTGAAGTTGTTGTGCTCAGTGGCAAGGCATGAAGGATAGCGTAAGTGGCATGAATGGTAGAGATGGAATTGCCCAGAAACTTAGATGCCATGCTTGTGTCAATTGGAATCGTCAGTGGCCAGTGGTGGTATGACCCCCAACAGCATGCATATCTCCATTGGATACGTTTTGTCCTTGGATGCCCTTCTTGTGCAAGAATCGGTCAGCAGGCCCTCCGAACGGGCCAGAGTCGCGCATTTGGCAAGTGACTCTCCCGGTTGACCACCGAAAATGAACAGACAGACTACAAGGGAGGTCAACCCACCAAGTTTTGACCCACAACCATATCTCCTAGCATGGTAAGAAGCTTCCTGATCTTCAGCCTTGTTTACTCTGGTGGTTGAAGGCAACTGAGCATGGCAACTGAGTATCCAACCAGTTGCTCGTCATGGCCCATGGGGGAGATCGCCTCCAAGTTCACATCAACACATACCTGCTGCGTGCACAATGTGAGATCAATCACCGGTGTTCCCCCAATTCTAGCTTCGCGTTGCCGTGCGGCTACATGGCTTCAAACAAGAACGGTTGTCCACAAAGATGGACTTCTAGCCTGTTTTGACCAGTTTGTCTGTGATTCTTCACGAAGCGGTATGGTGAGCCCAATGGGTTCATGTTCAGAGTTGGCAGCTTGACAGCGCCTTGAAGTCAAGCCAAACCCTTGGATGCATATCATCAGCCAAATAAGCCAGAAATGCACAGCGCCAAGGTTCCTCCTTTGACATGCATGCTATTCTCTCTGTCACCGGATGATAAAACACCCTTAAAGAATGGCTTTTGTGGGGTCCAGTGCCTCAATAATCATGCAAGTACAAACTAGATACATAGTTACATGGTGTTATATAGATGTTACATGATATTATATGACGTTACATGTACATGTGTGTGTGAGCGCGCGCACAACAGTGAACAATGACCTGTTCGGGACACCAACAAGTTGTTTGATTTGAACTCTCAATGGGTGGATGCTGCGTCCCGGATAATCTGCCAGAGTTGCATCGACAACATCCGTGATGTTCGCCTGGCTCTTGCAAGATTGGACGTAACAGTGGCTACGTGGGGAGAGGGGGGGCTTTCTCACTCCAGTTTCTAAGGCTACATAAAAATGCCAATACTTGACTTTTGAAGCTCAACTGTAGAAGTCCCTCCCTCTCTCTCTCTCGGCCAGTTGCTCGTCTTCCTCTAAATTCAACGTGCCAGGTTAATTGGCATCCAAAAATGACACGTTTCTCACTTCAGTGGTTAGCAGTTGGAAGGCGAGATTCACATTCAAGTGGACCAAACTGGCGCATCTTTGTTGGAGGATTTGTTCATCCATTGAGGCCACTTTGTGGGTTTTCTCTTGAACAGATTCAGGCAACACACAGAGTGGAGGGTCGGAGTCTGTGGTCCGAGGTCCGCCAAATTTTACTTTTGGGTCAGGTGTGTTCTCTTCAATGTCATGATTCCATATGATTCCTAAAAGCATACCATACACCGTGCCTGGTCAAACATAGCCACCCTATAGCCACCCTAATTATGTACTTTGACCAACAAAAAGATCAAAAAATATCCACAACAGCGGAACTGTAAACAAAAGTCTTCTTGTCGTGTGGGATCCTTTGGGTCTGCATAAGACGATTCCCCACCAGACCGCAAGACGCTGAGTTCAGCCCTTGCTGATCCCACAATGGGCCTCAACGAAGTTCGAGACCTCTTCTTGCGCCTGGCCCAACGAAAACACCAGGAGATGCAACATCCGCAAAGCCTGTTCTTGGATGATGAACGTGGGCGTTAGCGGAACGGGGGCGGCGTGCTGCACGTGGGTCGCAGGAGTAAAGGTCCCGATGGGAGTAGAAGGGGTTCAGAGGTGTGAGGCAGGCATGGCTTCCCTTGCCTGGAACTTAGAACCTCTGTACTATTGGGGATTCCTTTTGTAATCGGCGTAGTCCTGCTTCAAAACCATTTCAGGAGGGCCAGGAGTAGAAGAGCTTCACAGGTGTCTGGTAGTTTTTCTTTTTTTCAGTTCTCGAGAGGCCCTTTTCATCATGGTTTGTCAGGGTCTTGAAGATTTTCGCTCCTTGCAAAACTCATGGTGGCCCCAAGGCCCCAACCTATTGCTTTTTGTTGACAAGTGGCAAAATGCCTCTGCGCTGTGCCTCCACAGCATGCTTTTCCTCTGAGCACTTAGTTAGTTCTACTTTAACTTGTTGTCTTTCCATGTGTTTCCTGAGTTGCTGCCCACAACGCAGTTCAAAGTCATCATAGTCATCCTCATCTGACCTGACCCCTTTCTTGCCTCCTCTTCCACGTACACCGTAATGCCAGCCTGAGATGAAGCATTGAAGTGGCTCCAATATCCATTTCATGTCCATCTCTAGCTCAAAACTACCTGCCAACCCCGATGAAAAACGGGATCAACAACACCTGCAAAAAGGATCATATGATCTCCTGAGTTTGATGCCTCGAGTCACAAAGCGCACCGAAACGCAGGAACCCATGCGGCACCCGTCCTCAGCCAAGTTCGTCTCCGTGGGGCCGAAGATCTGCGAGCGTTGTGTGGGCTGAACCTGTCGCAAGGGTGAAAGGGTGGAAGGTCCGAACCTCTCTTTTGCTTCTTTTGGTTAGGGGGGTAGGCCGAGAAGAGGCAGTGGCTAGGTAGCTTGAAGCAAACGGTAGCTAGTAGCTTAAGTAGTTACTACCTAGGGCACAGGATAGCTCACGCTTCTATTCATTTGGTTCTTAGATTTTTGGAGAGAGGCCCTAGCATGCCCTAGCCACTTGGCTGAAGAAAGCATGCTCCACCACCCTACCAAAGACTTCCTCAGCACTGCTCAGTGGCTTGGACACCTCTCTGCAGATCCTGGCTTCAGATATGACCCGACATGCTACAAACGCAATATTGCCATGGCTACGCTGGCTGGCTGGCCATATCGGATGTGCAATCTTTCTGCCAGAAGAATCGGCGAAGTGACAAACCTCAGGATACTCTACATCTGAGCACAACGACGACGACGACGACGACGACGACGACCCAACAAACAGCTTCAGCAACAAGGATAGTCTTCCAAAATACTCTAACGGTCTCAAACAGGCACCACAAAGGCACTTTAACACCCCCTAATATCTCCTGTTCTATGCACTCCCTGGACACCCACTAAGATGGCGCCTGCACCCCATCTGGCAGAGATGCCTGCACAACAAGAACCGTGAACCAATTCTCTAGACAGACCCAGCAGGAACAAATAACGTACATATGAAGAGTCATGGGATGTTCCATGGCTGACATTGCTGGCCCAATCACAGGCAAATTGCATGTCATCTGAGGGTTGAATATGAAGGAGGTTCAACTGAAGCTTGCTCCGCTCTTCTCAGGGTAAAAAAATCGGTGGGCCACCAATGCTCCGCTCTAAGAACTACGCCAGTTAGCACAAAACCCAAAATGCAATAAGCTCAGCCACATGTGGGTTTTTGGAGTAGGCGTTCTAGAACTTCGTTGTAGATTGCAAGTGGTCTAGCAAATTCCATGCTGTTTGGATGTCTCCCCTAGCTTTCCTGAAATGTTCAGCAACCGCAAAGGTGGTGTCAATTCAAATCACTGTCTTATCCTCTTTGGCATCAGTTTTTGGGCCCCTCCCATCGCACCTGGCTCGCCTGGCTCATGGGTGTACGGTCCTGTCAGCGACCGATGCTTCTAGTTACTCAAGAGGAAAACTCGAGTATTCACTGCTACTGGCAGTAATGCCCTTGTTACTAGTAGCGATGCCCTTGTTACTAGTAGTAATGCCCTTGTTACTAGTAACGATGCCCGTGTTACTAGTGATGCCCTTGTTACTAGTAGTAATGCCCTTGTTACTAGTAGCGATGCCCTAGTTACTGGTAGTAATGCCCTTGTTACTAGTAACGATGCCCTTGTTACTAGTAGTAATGCCTTTGTTACTAGTAACGATGCCCTTGTTACTAGTAGTAATGCCCTTGTTACTAGTAGTTTCTTGCTACTAGTAGTGATGCCCTTGTTACTAGTAGTTTCTTGCTACTAGTAGTGATGCCCTTGTTGCTAGTAGCGATGCCCTTGTTACTAGTAGTTTTTTGCTACTCAACAGGATAATCATTAGTGCAGGAGAATCTCAGGCACCCTCTGCGCCCACACACTTGGGCAAGCAAGCTATTTTCGGGGATGTAGATTCAGAAAAGTATCTTACTTCAGACTCTAAAATACCAGTCAACACACGTGATACAGCGGCTTATCTTTTCTGTTTGGCCGGAGGATTCCCATGTTGAAACGGAGACCTCTAAGAATGTCACCCCGGTGACTCATCTCGGCATGCCCTTGCTGCCTCGTCTTGCCAGCGGTCTGAGACTTGCCTCATGGTGCGCCTGGTGATGGACTGCGAGGCCTCCTGAACAAATGGAAGGCTGAAACATCAAAGCGAATGGAAAGAGGACGTGCATCCGAATTGTGAGGTTCATCTTTGAGGGTTATACATACATGATCTGATGGCTCTGACAGTGAGCTCATCTCCTATCCTTGAGGAAATATCACCCGGTACATCTCGGTACTATCATGACAAGTGAGTTGGCTCTCCGGCTGAAGCTTTTAGGCTGGAGGCCGTCACGAGTGATTGGGTTGGAGGCCATCGCTAGTAGGTTGAAGGCCATTGCCATTAGGTTGGAGGCCATTGCTTTTAGTAACTCAAAAGAAGATATATACAGTATACCTGAGAGCCTCTGGGTTAGGGAGTGCCCTCAGGGCAAGCCTGGGCAAAGACTTGGCGTGATTAGGTAACATCGGGCAAAGAGTACTTTCATGGGATCGCAGCCACACCGATAGGGGGTAGAAAGAAAAAGTAGAATACATAGGTTTGCGGGGGGGGGGTTTTCGTCCCGGTTCAGGGGCGCTTTGCAGGTGAAAAAGGGCACCCCTAAGGAAGTGAGGGGCGCTTGCCTGCGGCGTGTTGCGAGTCAGTGAGCAAACAGGGCTGTGGGGGTCCATGCGCCAGGCGATGGGCAGGGTAGGTGAGGATACAGCCGGAAGTGAGGTTGATATTGGAGCGACTTGAGAGTGCAAAATGAAGTGATAGGCTAACATGCATGGCGTAAAGAGTACTTTTGCGGGCTGAAGTTGGCATCGCAGGTACGTGATAGGAGGTAAAAACAAAAGGTAGAATTAGAAGGGGTGGTGCCCATTTTCGTCGTGGTTCAGGAGTGTTTTGGAGGTGAAAAAGAGCACCCTCAAAGATTTTATGTGAGCGTGCCGGCTGCGTGTTGCTAATGAGTGACCAAAGACGGTCGTGGGGGGTCTCTGGGCGAGGCTATCGGCAGGCTTTTGCGAGGATATATCTATATATACGTGTTCTGTATGTATATATAGGTAGAGTGGACAAAGAGGAAGCGGTGAAGTGGATATGGCTGCACTTCAGAAAGAATGGAAATAAACAATAGAATACATAGGTTTGGGACGGGGTGCTTTTGTGTCCATCTTGATGTCGGAGCGTTATGGAGGGGAAAAGGGCACCCCTATAGTTGGGGGAAGGTCTTGTATGGTGTGTTGGTCTATGTTTCAAGTGAGTTGGTGGCTGGCTTTCGTGATTAGATTTCCCTTGAACAAGTGCTATGGTTTCCAGCAACAGCTGGCCACTTGAAAGGGCCCCAACTGCCAACCTAAGCTTGGCCGCAACTACAATCTGTTCTCTGTCCATGGCCTCCTGAGCCCTTCATGACGCTGAGGATGCACTCATCGCCGTCAATTACATCACTTGCGTCACAACACCCCTAAAACCACTCATTTTTCACTACCTCCGGCCACCTCTCTTTTTTCGCTCTCCCTCACCAGGCTCTGAGTTCGCCTCTCCGGAATTGGCCGCCTCGCAAACACCCCCCCACCCCCCTTTAACTCACTTCGTTTGCTCCCCTACCTCGAGCCTAGCCTGTCGGCTGGCTTTCGTCATGGAATATATATACCTGAGAAGGGAGGGGACGAAAGCCAGCCTCTGGGTTAGGGGGTGCCCTCAGACCAAGCCTGGGCAAAGACTTGGCGTGATTGGGTAACATCGGGCAAAGAATACTTTCATGGGATCGCGGCCACACTGCTAGGGGGTAGAAAGAGAAAGTAGAATACATAGGTTTGTGGGGGTCCATGTGCGCGTAAAGAGTACTTTTAAAAGGGCACCGTCAAAGATTTTATGTGAGCGCGCCGGCTGCGTGTTCTAATGAGTGACCAAAGACGGTCGTGGGGCGCCTGCGGGCGAGGCTATCGGCAGGCTTTTGTGAGGATAGTTGACAAAGAGGAAGTGGTGAAGTGGATATGGCCGTCACTTGAGAAAGAATGAGAAAAAACAATAGAATACAATACAATACATAGGTTTGGGACGGGGTGCCCTTTTGCGTCTTGATGTCGTGAGTTGATGGCTGGCTTTCGTGATTAGATTTCCCCTTGTTCTCATTTAAGCTTTGAATGTAGTTTGGAGCAAGTGCTATGGTTTCCAGCAACAGCTGGCCACTTCAAATGGCCCCAAACTGCCAACCTCTGTGGTATGGATGCAACGCGCAGTCTCACAAGTACAAAATAGTTCAAGAACTGCACAAGATTGCGCATGTGACTGTTACAGCAAGGAGATTGCACAAACTCAAGAGCGGATTGCTTAGTTTGGTTTGTCATCGCCGGGCGTGTGGTCATGCTCTCACCAAAACGGCGCGGCTGCAGGACCCCTTTTGCCTTGACACCGAACAGCGTTGTCGAAGCCGTCATGGCCAGTGCACTGCCACAGCACGACCAGCGCGACGATGGTCCATGTCCACGTTTCACAGTGGTACTCGAATGTGGAGCGTCGATTTTCTGGACGTTTTGGCCACCCATGGGAGAAGTGCTTCTCAGCCTCCAACGCTTGCCCGCTGCAATCTTGTCTCTCTCTCCTGCCCTCAACAACCCCCCAATCCACGTGAACTCCCACCGCATAGGGAGTGCCCTCTTCAGTCCGGTTCTCTCAACAGATGGCATCATGCACCTTGCCCTTTTCAGTCCAGCCCCTAAGCAATTCAAAGCCTTGCCCGCTGCAATCTCTTCCCTCTCCTGCCCTCACACAGCCCCCCAATCCACGTGAACTCCCACCGCGTAGGGAGTGCCCTCTTCAGTCCGGCGGCATCGCTAAGCTTGGCCGCAACTACAATCTGTTCTCTTTCCCTGGCCTCCTGAGCCCCTGCTGATGATGCACTCCTCGCCGTCAATTACACCCCTAAAACCACTCATTTTTCACTACCTCCGGGCCTCCTCTTTTTTTCGCTCTCCCTCACCAGGCTCTGAGTTCACCTCTCCGAAATTGGCCGCCTCACGACCACCCCCCCACACCCCCTTTAACTCACTTCGTTCGCTCCGCTACCTCAAGCCTAGCCTGTCGGCTGGCTTTCGTGATATAGAACTAAACTTCCTCTAAACTTCCTCAACCTTCAACCTGTCAAGCTCGGCTCCTTGGTCATGGTGGGCACTTCCGTCGACTTGTTGGCACGCATGTCCTCAGCCGTCAGAGCCTTCGACTTCGCACTAGGGTGACCTCCGCGTCCACAGTGGCTTTGACTCCCTGCAGAACATAGGTGTTATATCGATGTCTTTATAGCATACACTGGAAGAAAAAGGATGTTCCTCTGTCAAGCGGATGTCTCCATGTGTGCAGAAGAAAGAGGAGGACAAAGGCATGGTTGCCATGCTGTCTTGGTGATATGTTGGCTGTTGTATTCTGTTGTCCTCTGTCAAGTAACCTGGCGAAGACCATGCCATGTCCCGTGCCCACTTCCAGGGTAGACTTAATATTGCATGCAATAAGGAGTGCAAACGTGCCTTCTATGACTGCGAGGGGTTCACTGGCTTCGGATATGAAACTCTCTCGCGTGTCAGAATCCAAACACATCAAGTCTTCAAGCTAAGCTCAAGAAAGCAATTCCATGCTGGCTCAGATGGAATGCCAAGTTCGCTTCGGCAAATCGGCCTTTGGGGTGGAGCTCCCCACCCTAGTCAGTCTTTGGCGTTCCAGTCACATCAAGTGGTTCCTACTGCATTGGAGATCGCCTGATTTGGTGCAAGTTAGATTCCGATGTTGCCTGCTTCTTTGAACCTGCCGCAAGATGGTGCTCTCCGCCTGGCCCTTTCAACGCCAATGAATCTTCGAGACCCGAATAGGGGTCTTCAACACCATAATTAACTACTGTAACATGTGGGACATATGTTCCTCACAGAAAATGCACGGTAGAGGACGCTACTAGGAGCAAAGGGCATCGCTACTAGGAACAAGGACGCTACTAGGAGCTTTTCCCAACCGACGAGCCCAAACCAACTCCAAGAAGCCATGGTCACCCAACGGTGGCCACGCAGTTGGTTCAAGCGCCTCCACAGAAGCAGCTCACAGCTTAAGGAGAAGGGGAACTGTTGCCTGTTTTGGCTGCAAACAGGGATGGGGAACGCAAAAGCGTGGCTTGGCTTGGCATGCAACAAGTAACGAGACCACCAGATCTCTTCAAGACTGATTCCAAAAAATAGCTGTAGGCTGGAAGTTTGGAGGCAAGCTTGCAACACTTTAGCTGCACCAAAAAAGTTGGTTGCATCAAATAGATTGCACCCCCATAATTGCATGTTGCAACTGCAATATAACCAAGCTCTCATCTTGTAATTATGTTTGGTCATGAGAGGTCCCAACGTAGCTAGTATTCTTGGCTGAGGATTGATGAACCAAAGTCCCGCTGAAGCACGTCCAGCCTCATGAATCGGTCCTTGGATCGGCAAATGCATTGGTCGTCAAACATGGTGGTCCCTACCAACTGCAGCGTTCCACCCATAACAATCGGCGCGAATGTGGTTGACGGTTGATCAACCCATTGGGGTTAGAGTCATCTTGGTAAAGCGATCCTCCTACTTGTATGGATTGATCGACGTGCGTGGTTTCTTACAGAATCGAAAGGTGTGCGCTGCACGAATGGAAGCGCTCCGTGGCTGCCCAAGCAGCAAGGTTGAGGAAAGCTTAGGTTCATACGCAGGCAGATTTCTGGGGAGTTGCTGCGTAAAATGTCGAGGAGCACACCAAGCAGCAAGCATACATTCATGAGATTCACAATACAATGCCATTGGTGAGTAATTCCGAAATATCATTCATGTGTGTTGTATATATATATATATATACACACATCAGAGGTAAACTGGGGTTGCGTCATACAACACCCGGACCAAACGCCCGTTCATTGAGTAAGAAGAATCCAAAGCGCTGTTTCCTATGTGTTGCCGATGCTACAAATCTCCAAGCGAACAAATGAACTGTCCATGCCCTGAAATACATGAGCGGAGAGACAGAGAGAGAGAGAGAGAGAGAACATCGTGGGGCAGGCCTCAGTTGAAGGTTCGATGCTACTTTGCCGAGCTTACTGCTCCAAGTGGCCGGATCAACGTCCCATCTCACAAGCACCTGTGGAAGCGAAGAGGGTATGCGTGCAGCACCATGAGTAAAGGTCGTTCTAGTCTGTAGGCACAATCATACATAACAACTACATATATATATATATAGCTATAAATTGATAAATTGTAATTAGATGTCAAGGATTTAGAGTTTCGCCAGATTCCGAGGATCGATCGGATCGACCTCATGTCTCGGAGATAATCCACTTTGTCATTGGAAAAACACCCGGCTCCAGAGAACCCCCGAGCCACTGAGACACGCCTTTTTCTTTGAATCAACCTGGTCATCTTCATCCTCGTGGATGGTCTTGGTCTCCTCCTGGGTTGATGAAACTCACATTCGACTTCACATCTTCGCTGCTAGTCAATCTCTAAATTTGGAGAAGGAGGTTGCTCATTCGGGGGATGTGGGTTTCAGACATGATTCAAGTCAAGGTCGGCACAACTCAAGGCCAAAAATGACCCTGTTCAATTCAATCGAACGAAGGGCCTGCAACTTGCAAGTAGGTCAAGTTATTGTTGACACCTGTCGAATACCATACCCCTCGAATCCCGCATCATTCTTGGGTTAAAGTGGAAAAAAACATACAAGGTCCAGGTGACGATCTTTGTATCAGAAAGACACATATAACATATAAAACATAATTTTTTAAAAAAAGAACAGCGACGGCAACGGCAACGACAACGGCAACGACAACGGCAACGACCACAACGACAGTGCCACTGGAGTGTGGCATCGGATGGCACTGACAGCCCAGGCTTTCAAGGCCCGGGCCACGACCTCGGATCTCTTGAAGTTCACCACCTCGGTCGTCCAGTCTGTGCCGGTCTCGTCCGGTGTTTGGGACGCCATCCGTTGTTGAGGATTGCGGCGTCTTCCTTTGTACAAGTGTTTGGTTTGCGAAATGGGCGGAACAATGCTGCAGGATGAGGTTGATCCACAGGAACGACTCAATCACCTGGAGAGTCACAATGTGAGCAAATGCAACAAGTTCCCACAAGCAAATGTTATCAGAATTGAATTTTGAGTCAACATCATGCCAGGAAGACAATCTTGCCAGCCAAATCACAAAACAACTAAGTGGTCCCACAATGAAACCCTCCAAAAAAAATGCTGGGGCAGAAGCTTGATACCCTGCAACAATCACGGCACGCACCTGAAAAATGAAAATCCCCTGTCCCACAAAGAATTTTATCACATATATTTCGGCCCTGCCGACTTCAGGGCTCCAAACGTGGACCCGGCCCTTGCTATCCTGGAGGGTCAATGAGTGTGTGCGGAGGTGGGGAATACCAACATTGTCTACGCCATTCCAGACTAGATATACATCCACATCAGCTTATATAGATGAATGTTTCCCACTGACTGGGTTGTTCTAGGCCACTAATCTCTGGCAGGCACGGCCAAAAAAACAATCGTTCCCAAGCTAACCGTTATATCATCAGCATGGGGCCAACAAGGCCATGGGCTCCGGCTCCGGAGGGTTATCATGCCTGAGGTCGTATATAAATGACACTATTATCTATCTATCTATCTATCTACCTACCTATCTATCTACATATCCAACTATCCATGTGTCCATCTATCCATCCATCTATCCATTGATCTATCTATCATCTATCCATCGACCTATCTATCAATCTAACTATCTATCAATCTAACTACCTATCTACCTATCTACCTGACTACCTATCTGTCTGTCTGTCTGTCTATCTGTCTGTCTATCTATCTATCTATCTGTCCATCTATCTATATCCATCCATCCATCCATTCATCCATCGATCTATCTATCCGTCTATCCATCTATCCATCAACCCACCTGCCACCTATCCATCTATGCCGCCTATCCATCCATCTATCTATCTATCCATCTATCTATCCATCCATCGATCTATATATATATCTCTCTCTCTGTGTCTCTCTCTCTCTCTCTCTCAGTCCGTCCATCCGTCTCTGTCCCTCCCTCCCTCCCTCCGTCCCTCCGTCCCTCCGT